CCAGCTGTAGTACAAGCGATGCAGAGGCCATGAGGCCCAGCATCTTTTGAAACGTCTTGAGAGGGCGAGAGGCTCAGATTTTGAAAGACGCCGCGAGCTGTTGTATGGCCAGTGCACGTTCTGGCGCGAATTCCGCCCTCATGTGGACTGTCGAAAACTGCTCCCAGGAACGAAGTTCGTTGGCTGGGAGACAGAGAGCTGTTGGCAAAATTGACCCTGAGTCCCAGGCACTCTAAGTGGCTCAGGAGGAGGGACCTGTGGGATATTAGCTCGGCCTCTGACTGGGCTAAGATGAGCCAGTCGTGGAAGTAATTCAGAATGCGGACTCCCATCTGCCTCAGAGGGGAGAGGGCCGCGTCCATGCACTTCGTAAAAGTGCGGGGAGCCAGGGACAGTCCGAAGGGCAGGACCGTGTACTGATATGCCACTCCCTCGAAGGCGAATCTCAAGAATCGTCTGTGATGGGGGGCTACCTGGATGTGAAAGTAAGCATCTTTCAGATCCAGAGAAAATAACCAGTCCCCTGGGCGTATTTGCGAGAGGATCTGCTTCAGGGTAGTCATTCTGAACGGCTGTTTCATGAGGGCACAGTTCAGGTGTCTGAGATCGAGGATGGGCCAGAGGCTGCCATCCTTTTTGGGGACGAGGAAGTAACGGCTGTAGAAACCTGACTCGCTCTGAGCTGGCGGAACCGCCTCTACAGCTACTTTTGCCAGTAAATTCTTCACCTCGGATCGCAAGACGTGAGCGTCCTTGCTCTGCACTGAGGTGGAGACCACGCCGCGGAACCACGGGGGTTTTCGAGCAAACTGGAGTGAGTAACCTCGTTTTATAATTCCCAGAACCCAGTCTGACACTCCGGGTATGGCCTGCCAGGCCTCGGCCCGTGTGGCGAGGGGTTGGATTAGTTCGGGTGGTGAGTCGCCATGCGGGGACTTGACACTCGTGATAACTGTAAGAGGAAATTTGCTCTCTTTTTGAAAATGTTTGTTTTTTATTATTTGTCCCGCTATCACAGCGGTCGGATGCTTGGGTGCATGAAATGGGGCGGAATTTGAGGTTTCAGCCAGTACTGAAGGGGTCTCATGCGGAGCAGGCCCAACTGTAGTACCTGCGATGCAGAGGCCATGAGGCCCAGCATCTTTTGAAACGTTTTGAGGGGGCGAGAGGCTCCGATTTTGAAAGAAGCCGCGAGCTGTTGTATGGCCAGTGTAGGTTCTGGCGCGACTACCGCCCTCATGTGGACTGAGTCGAAAACTGCTCCCAGGAACGAAGTTCGTTGGCTGGGAGACAGAGAGCTGTTGGCAAAATTGACCCTGAGTCCCAGGCACTCTAAGTGGCTCAGGAGGAGGGACCTGTGGGATATTAGCTCGGCCTCTGACTGGGCTAAGATGAGCCAGTCGTGGAAGTAATTCAGAATGCGGACTCCCATCTGCCTCAGAGGGGAGAGGGCCGCGTCCATGCACTTCGTAAAAGTGCGGGGAGCCAGGGACAGTCCGAAGGGCAGGACCGTGTACTGATATGCCACTCCCTCGAAGGCGAATCTCAAGAATCGTCTGTGATGGGGGGCTACCTGGATGTGAAAGTAAGCATCTTTCAGATCCAGAGAAAATAACCAGTCCCCTGGGCGTATTTGCGAGAGGATCTGCTTCAGGGTAGTCATTCTGAACGGCTGTTTCATGAGGGCACAGTTCAGGTGTCTGAGATCGAGGATGGGCCAGAGGCTGCCATCCTTTTTGGGGACGAGGAAGTAACGGCTGTAGAAACCTGACTCGCTCTGAGCTGGCGGAACCGTCTCTACGGCCCCTTTTGCCAGTAAATTGTAAATTCTTCACCTCGGATCGCAAGACGTGAGCGTCCTTGCTCTGCACTGAGGTGGAGACCACGCCGCGGAACCACGGGGGTTTTCGAGCAAACTGGAGTGAGTAACCTCGTTTTATAATTCCCAGAACCCAGTCTGACACTCCGGGTATGCCCTGCCAGGCCTCGGCCCATGTGGCGAGGGGTTGGATTAGTTCGGGTGGTGAGTCGCCATGCGGGGACTTGATACTCGTCATAACTGGAAGAGGAAATTTGCTCTCTTTTTGAAAATGTTTGTTTTTTATTTTTCTCCCTATAACAGAGGCTGTTTGTGAGGGTGCTTTCGGAACGGGCCCAGTATTCACAACAGTTTCTAGAACAAACATACTGCCACAGGCACCCGGAACCAAACGGGGTGCTTGAGGGCACAACAGAGGGCTTTTGGGGGTGGTCCGGCGCTGGCGAGACTTTGCCCCCTCCTCTTCCTGCCCAGCAGATCAGGATGACGCCTGAGGTGCAGGATCCAATGTCAGCTTGGGCCGGGGTCCTTGGCGCTTCGGAAATGGGTAGCGTCTGGCCGAGCAGCAGCGCTGTCGGGGCTCAAGATTTTTTTTCAGGGCGACTGGTGGCCATTGCAGAGCTGGAGTGCTTAGGCAGGACGTGCCGCATTGCCTGGGACAACTTCTGTGCTGCTGTAAAACGCTCTGTAAATCCCTCGACGGCGGGTTCAAACAACCCCGATGGCCTGTGCTGTAGCCTTCGTAGCTCGCAAAGCCAGGTCTGTTGCACTGCGCAGCTCCTTGAAGGCTGCAGGGTCGGGTCCGGACTCGTCCATGACCTGGAGAAGTTTGGCCTGAAAGACCTGGAGCACAGCCATGGAGTGCAGAGCTGAGGCCGCCTGCCCGGCGGAGGAGTACGCTCATCCAGCGAGGGCAGACGTTGTTCTGCAGTGCTTGGAAGGCTGAGCGACCTTTGCTTTCCATCCAATGGCAGTGGGTAGGCAGAGGTGTGCAGCCACTGACTCAACGCGAGGAGGCAGTTTTTCGTAGCCTCTTTCATCAGCGCCATCCACTGAGGAGAGCGCAGAAAAAGAGGATGTGCGAAGGCGAGCCGAGTAGGGAGCGCGCCACGACTTTGTGAGCTCGTCATGGACTTCCGGGACAAACGGGGAGGCTCGCTGATGAGGGGCGGCGCCCCGGCAGGAACCATTCGTCCAGATGGCTACGAGTGGGCTCCTCCGGCGTAGACCACTCCAGTCCCACGGTAAAGTTCAGTGTCCATCCCTAGCTTGGCGTCACTGGGATCGGCAGACGGCAAAGGGGCGGGGTCAATAGTAGAGTCCGACATCTCCTCCACATCTGATGCTATTAAAGACATGCTGTCATCTAATAGCACGTTCTCTATTGCACCGAACAAGACCATGTCGCTCGCATCCGCCGAGGGACGCTGGTCTGAGTGTTCAAAGAGGACGGGAGAACCCTCTCTGCTTGGCGAGGGCGAGGCACGCGGGATCTGGGCCGGCGTGAGCTCGCTCGTAGCCGAGCACTCAGTCCCCTTGCCCCACTGTTTTTTCCTCACAGGTCCCTGAGAGAAAGAAAACGGGAGGGCGCGAGGGGCGGAGTCGTTCTCTGAAAAGAATGCAATCCGAGTGCACAGAGAGGTGAGACTCATGTTCACGCAGTGTGAACACTCCATCTTGGTCAGAGAGGCTTCTGTGTGGGGCTTGCCCAAACAGGAAATGCACTCTGAGTGGCCGTCATCAGCGTGCAGTGCAATCCTGCACGAGCCGCAATGACGGCGTGGCATTTGAAACAATGCCACTGCTCTTTTAGTAGTGAAAATTTGCTTTTTTAGGCTCGCCGGATGGCGGCAGGGGACGAGCTGGTGTCTGCGCCGAATGCTGAAGGCAGCTCGTAGAGCAGGCGGGAACAGCAGAGAGGAGCAGAGGAAAAGGCAGCTTCTGTCCGCAGAGAGGCGTGTCAGCGGCGAGCGCTTCAAGTCCCGTAGATCAGTAAAGGGAAGATCATCGTCGCTGAAGGAGAATTGATCTGAGATCCTATGGCGAAATGCCCGCTTATATAGCCAGATGGCCCCGCCATTCTGGCAGGCTCTGGCGGGCTTCGTCGCCAGCTCTGCTGCACGGCCATTGGTTCGTTTTTTATTTACTGCACGAACCAATGGCCGTGCAGTTACACTGCGTGATTGTAAAGGCTTCAGTCCTCGGACAAAAAGGAGTTTTTCCCCATAGTGTCTAGTGACGCAGTACGAGTGAAGTATCGAAAGGGAACCTATTCTGGGAAGCCAGATAAGTCACCTGACTTGAGTTTTATCAAACTACTGTGGACAGTTTTGGAAGGAAGAGTGAGAAGCAGATTTCCTTCTTCAACATCTCTGAAGCAACTGGCAACATTCAGCTGGAGACTGTTCCAAAGTTATATGAGTCTATTCTAAGAAGGTTGGAAGCTGTATTGAAGACAAATGGTGATTGAAAAAAAATTCATAGTCATTTTAGTATGAATTTAGCACAATTTTTTAATATATAATTACAAAAGATTGGGTCACAGGATTGCATATTTAGTCAAAATTGTTCTATCATTTAGAAAATCAACAGGTTTGAGGGAAAAAAAATGAAATAAAATAAAATATAGCTATTCTTATCAGTTTAACGTTGTTACATAAAATTTAGTGTAAAATGCGACTTATGCACTAATTAGGCTATTTACTGGTAGCCTATGTTCCAAATATAAAAACTCTTGAACCTGTTTTATTTTCAACGAATGGTCAATGAAGGAAAATAATTGTCCTTTAGAACATTTGTGATTTGCAATTTATGCAACCTTATACGTCTACAGTTTTAAAACTCCGAATAGACTGCTAGTTTAGGGCGAAATATTGGTTAATTAGTTGTAAATTTATATTTCCAAAAATAAAATAAAATAAAAATGAATATTTGTATAAGTTAAATTAGTTAAATTAATTAAATAAACATATAGAATAAGCTTCATAAAAAATGAATAAATAAATAAATAAAAAAGAAGTAGCTTTCAGTATACCAAATTCTTCTGTAGTTATAATAGCTTTTTGGAAACTATTGTTACCGCTGTCATTTTTATAAGGGCTTTTTCACCGCACTCGTGAGCCATTTTGACAGTTCAGAGGCGCTGGCCACAAAAAGCGTTTCGCAATTTGCGGCTTCCGTACAGTCACAGTCCAGGAAGAGCTGATGTCTTTCAATCTTAGAATCCGACGCTCTTTGTCCAACGCTAAACCCGCGACACCCAACTGAGACACCACCCTGTGAGAAAATCAGTGAGTATTATTATGCTTCGGTAATCTGATGTCATATTCCTTTTCGCAGGTTGTGGGTTTGTGTACCAGGTCTTTATTCTGCTGTGTATCATCCTCGTGGGCTTCACTCATCATGAGCCACTGCCAGGAAATGTTTACTAGTTACAATAAATATATAATGAGTAGACATGAAGAGAACAGAAATGCACTAAAATTAGAACATGTTTACATGAGTTATTTTATTAGATGTGACTGTTTATGAATTGAACGGATTTGTTCTTAAACGGTGTCTGTTCTCACAACATAAGGAGAACTGTCAGTCCATCTCTGTTGCAGAGACGTGCCGTTTTAGATGAGAAATCACAACAATGCAATCATTTATTTTTATTTATTTATTCATTTATTCTTTCTGTGCCTTTTAGCATTGTTCAAATATTTTGCAAGATCCGTTTAATTAAATGGGCGTATCCCAGACAGTAGGTGTCTCTTATGTGACCACTTTTCACTATTACTGAAAAATCTGCAGATAACTTATTCTTGATCTAACAATTTCGGGATCACTCTCGTTGTGTTTCTTTTTCCACATAAAGACAGGATTTTTTTTGTTGCAAAACTACAGACAACAAATCTGACATATGCCTACTGATAAAAATAGTTGTTTTGTTTTGTTTTGTGTGTTTTAGGTTGTCATGGGCATGGCTAGGGCCACTGTGATGCTGCTGCTTTCTATGGACTGACACCATTAAAAAGGTACTACTGATTCATGTAAAGCTTCATCCATACACTTCCTTCATATGCAAGATTTTATAATACTGAGACACTTAAGCATCATCTAACATTATGCATGTATCTATCCATTTCTAAAAATCAGCAGTAAGTTCATTCAACATTGATGTAAACATTTGGACCATATTTTAAAACTATAAGACAAATTATACTTAATTAACTGACAAATTATACAAATTAACTGACAAATTATCAGAAAGAGTCCCACTTTATAATTTTCCGTATTTTTTAATATGATACTTTTTTTTTTTTTATATTATGCATTTCAGAATATCTTATTATTTGATATCTCCTGAACTGCATGAACTCAGTGTAGTCTTATACTTCTGAACCACACTGTTGACTTGCTTCATTTAATTGATGTACTTGTGAAGACATTATTGTATACGCTGGTTAATTTTTCATATCCTTTTTTGGCCTTGAACAAATCAATATGTTCCATATTAAATGGTACTTTGGGCTACCATTGATCCAAACTCTGCATTCAGTCTGTTATCAGGAGCTGCTTCGGTTATCCTGGCACATATACTATCTGGAAGGATGAAGCTACGACTGCATTTTGTGGTGGACCCCATGGGCTGGTTCTGCATAAGCATGGTGCTGTTTGTCTGGCTCTATAACAGCTTCCTGATTCCAAAACTGGTGCTATTGCCACATTATGCAGAGGGACACATACCTGCTGCCTTTGTGGTCTGTAAGTTCTATGACCATGTTCTACTGAAACCAGCCCCTATTATGTGTTGCAATCAGTTTTTTAGTTTTTTTTTCAGGTTTGGGAGAGAATAGCTTTACTGAAATCTTATTGTTCTACAATCTGGTTTGTGCAGATCATGGGGGACAAGCTTCAAATGAGTCGGTTAAAACGTGAATTCTTCTTAGATTAGAGCAGATCATTGAGATAATGAGGTCTTGTTCACTGTGAGAGTAAGTAGAGTAGCAGGACAGGTTTACGTAAAACAGGTTTTTTTTTTTACCACTACACATCAACAGTTCAGAACTAATTACTAGGGGTGCTCCGATCAGGATTTTTGAGGCCGATCGCCAATCACAGAAAGCAGTATCTGCCGATACCGATCACCAATACCGATCTTTTTAAAGCCTACTTTTTATCATTTATAACTATTTATAGTGATACTCCAATCAGGATTTTTAGACATTTATTCAGGGCCTGAATTTCATTTTTGAAAATGGGGGGAATTCCCCTCTTAGGTGACTCTTGTGAGAGAGGAAGCAGCTTTCACACAGCAGTTCACTACTGATCCGTGTTTACCACAAACACAAAATGTATCCATTATTTTGATTTCAAATCCGAACATTGTCACTGAAAATGCTTTTTCAGCATTGCAATTCTTTTTTTACACAGTGCAGTAATACAATCTTTCACAGACATGTTTAAACACAATAAATATAAGCAACACATTATTCAATGCTTTTTACTTTTGCATGCACATGCTGTGCACAGACCCCGCAAATAAAACGCGTGACGTTAAAGCATGCGTGCAGCGCGTGCATACCAGTCCTGAGCGCAAGCTGTAGGCTACCGGTGGTCAATAAGAATAAAGCGCAGATAATGCTGTTCTAAATGGACGTCGGGAACGGGATATTGTTAGCCCGCCCGCTCCCGTTCAAATTACACCAGTTACCCGACCGCTACCGCGTTTTATTCGGGAATTTAATCCCACGGCGCAAAAAATCCGGTCGGTTCCCGCGGGAGAGCCGCGGGGATGTAGACCTCTACTTGCAGCGCAGCAGTAGACTCGGTGTGGAAACGATCTCTGCTGTGTGCGCTGCAAGTGTGCATGAGCGTACGGTCTCTAGGAGAGCGCACCAGCGCTGAATGGATAAACACTGGCAAGAATTAAAAAGAAATGCAATTTATAAACTTTAGTGACGATGTGACACTGCCTCGACTATGCAAATGACAATTTCTGTGTCAGCTGTGCAGCATGTAGCTCGCTTATAGTGCAGACGCGATGTGTGGTGATTTGAAGCCTTTGCATATTTTGAGAGAGAAAGAGAGAGAGCGCGCGCATGGTGATTCACTCACGCTGCTTGTGAAATTACGTCTCACACAAGGTTTTCAAATTACTTTATAAGTTATTTAATGAAAAAATATGCATTATAGCAGCATATATACAGCATTATAATTATTTCACCCCCGCCGGACGACGGTGCCGCTGCATGTCGTGCCAAACCTCTCACGGCAGGCGCGTCATCAGCTTGAGATCGGTTTTTTGAGATCGACCGCCGATCGATCATCCCAACGTGATTATCGGCCGATAGTGATCGGTAGATCGGATCGGAGCACCCCTACTAATTATAAACCTGACACTCTGTGAGCATAAGAGTAACTAGATTTGCATGTATGAAGGAAATATTAGACAACAAGAGAATAGTGTTAAACGTTTAGGCTGCGGTCACACTAGACTTTGAGCATGCAAAACTTTTATGGACACTGCAACGGTTGTATGCAGAGTGTTTTTAAAAAAACATAATTTAACTTAAAATTAGTGCTGTCAAACGATTAATCGCATCCAAAATAAACGTTTTTGTTTACATAATATATGTGTGTGTACTGTGTAGATTTATTATGTATATATAAATACACACTCATACAGTATATATTTTGAAAATAATTACAGGCATTTACATGTATATTTTACATTTATATAATTTATATAATATAAATATATTTAATATACAAATATAACATATTTTTCTTAAATATATACTGTATGTGTGTGTATTCATATATAAATAATAAATATACAAAGCAGCCACACATATATTATGTAAACAAAAACTTTTATTTTGGATGCGATTAATCGTTTGACAGCACTACTTAAAATACATCTGAAATGTAAAAATTAACAATCTACTCCACTTCACTACAGTTATGCCGATTTAAAGTGTGCATTGTTTTAATTCAGTTACGAGGCCACGCTGTGACACACCAGTCTTCTATTGGTCACACATCTTCACGTGATATGAATTTGCAGGTCAGAGTTGACCAAACTTGTACTTTGGAATGCAGAAAAATCTGCATGAGCTTGCGTTTCCTGTTTCCCACATTCAAGGGAAATCAGTGGTATGAAACATGTAGTATGTCTACCCGTTTAGGCTTTGGTTCTATGTAAATGGCAAAGTTGACAAGTTAGTAAATAAATGCTAAACAGACAAGACTAAGCACAATTTAATATGCAGATAGATTTAAGAAAGAAGGACAATTGTTATATAAACACAATATCCCGAAATGAGTGAGAGAGAAGCCCTGTTTCCAAGGTGATTTTTGGTGATTCAACCAAGAGTTGTCAGAGCCGAGATGCCTTTACTGTTTCCACTTGGTATATATGCATTTGTTTTGTATGATTACTTTGCTTACTTTACTTTGTTTGGATTACCTCACACTCTGTCACTTTGCTATTAATACTTTGCTATAAATACTATTAAATGAGCCACATCATGTAGTGACTTATGAGTGCGCAAGAAAGCAGGCAAATGAAAAGCAGTGTTTTTTTTTTGGAAACCGGTTGTTCTGCTTAAAATTTTACTGGAAACCATGATACATTTTTAAGGATTCTTTGAATAGAAAGCACTTATTTGAAATATAAGTCCTCTGTAACAAATGTAAAATTTTATAAAAACTAAAATTAGATCAGATTTCTAGTTATAGTGACTTTTGTGATAAATGTGAAATTTCTCTCTTTCTCAAGTTTACTATCTAGCATCACTTCTGTGCGTCTCAGCATTATTCAGGGCTTCCACCGCTGACCCCGGAAAACTTGCTCAGGACCCCAAAATTCCACTCGCAGGTATGAAGCCTAACGCTCACCTATATGTTAGGGCAGTGTAACAATTCATGTATGTTATTAATCCACAGTCTGTGTCTAAACTGTTCTCATCCCCCTCATACTACTCTTCTATACTTCTCATACTGCTTTAATGCAGTAAATAATTTTGTTCGTACATGTTAAAGGATTTATGAATAATTAATTGCTAAAGCTAAGTGCCCCACAGACACAAAATGAGAAACAAATATAAAACAATGTGCCATTATTTGTTATTATCATAAAAGTGATTACATATATTCTTGACCTTTTCCACTGTGAATATGTATGTAAAATGTTTATACATACAGGTAGATTCTAAGGATGAGTTAAGTTTACGTAAATGTTTTTGCTTGTGTGTGCGCTTTAATGTGTGATTCAACTTATTTAAAGTTGTGTAAAGTCGTAGACCTAATTTTTACCATACTTAATGAAGTTCCACTAACTAACCAGATGAGGGCAGTACACCTCAGTGTTCAGTGACTTAAGCCTTAATACCTTCGCTTAGTATGTTAGTTAGACCATTTTTAGAATGTTATAGTATTGTACAAGTGATCCAGTGGACAGTGTACAGTAGTCAACATTTGAAGTGGATCAAAAAAGTTGATCATAGTTGTCCTAAGACAAGAACGCATTTTGGTTTTAGGACAACTTTGATGAAAGGTTTTGATCCACTTCAAATGTTGACTACTGTAGTTTGGTACACTTGTGAATTTAACAGACTTAAATCCCTATCAAAACAGATTTCAAATCCCTTTCTAAAGCAGGGAAATACAACATTTATCTGTCAAAATGAGAGACTGAAAATGAGAAAATGACAACACTAATATTTATTATATTTATTAATGTTACAGTCAATGACAAAACATTTCTGGTTAATGCAATATAAATGTATGTTACATAATATAGGCTTACATGTTTTGGTGCACAGTAATATTTAACATGTCCATAATATTATTGCTGAAATTAACATTGTCTGTTGATAGTAATTTGTGAACACTATGCAGCACACATTGGCACAAGTTGTTTGTAGAGACAGCTGTAAGTAACCTTTTCCTAGGTTGGTTTTCCTGAAAAGTGCAAATACTTTGTATAATTGCCCGGGATAATAATATATAATCAGCCCGGGACTCGCTACTTAATCGATCAATAGTAGAAAAACAGTGTTTAGGAAACCTGCTTAAAACTAATAATATTTAATTATTTTAGCAGTTTTCAACTTTGAGGCGTGTCATTGTTCACATGGATGAGCAATTTTATACAGTCATTTGAGACTAAAATAGAGAAAAAAATTATTTTGATGTTCAGAAACTGAGTACCACTAGATGGCAGCAAAGACCTTTTTTGTTACAGTTACAGTTTTTGTAGCATTTTTGTAGCAGCACTGAAAATGAGTTGAGATTTTTCTTTTTGTAATTTCAGAGAGAGACAACTGGGAACTGTGCAATAAATGTAACATTATGAGGCCAAAGAGGTCACACCACTGCAGCCGCTGTGGCCACTGTGTCCGTCGCATGGACCACCACTGTCCCTGGTAAAACTTTAACAAGAAATAACCAAGTCAATACACTACTACAAGCTTTTGTTTGAGCACAGCACTCTTTAAAAAAAGTGCTGTATCTATATGTTATTCATGTATTTTGTGCATGTGAAAACAAATAATGTACTTATTAACAGTGACCAAGTTAATTTTATTACTAGTGCTCTGATGCTTGTTATCTCTGTGTGAGACATGTTGAGATTTTTACAGTGGTTTAGGATCCAAACTGAAATCTGGCCTGTTGACCCATGTTCACAGTATAACCTTAAAAGACCCTGTACCCCAGACAGCTTTACATTCCTGGTGGGTTTTGTATAGAGGAAGTTTAATGAAGTCTCTGTAGAGAGGTAAAACAGAGGGAGAGGCGATATCAAGTGACCAGAGAAGCCTGTGTTAAGTCCAGCCCTACAGTACAGCTGAAGAAGGCTGCTGTCTGTCTGGACTCAGCAAATCGTGACTCCCTGTCATCGCCTGTAATGGCAGAGGGAAGAGGAGGAAAAAAAACGTGGCCGTATCATTTTCTGTATTCGTTTTACTAACCGTTCATCCTGCTCTCTCTTTTGGCCCTCTCTGCTCTTTCTCTCTTCTCTCATGTTCTTTATTCTGGTGCTTCTTCCTGTGGCGTGATCTGTCTTAAAGGGATAGTTCATCCAAAATGGCAATTCTGTCATCTTTTACTCACCCTCAAGTTGTTTTAAACGTATATGAATTTCTGCTTAATACAAAAGAAGATATTTTGAAGAATATGGGTAACCACACAGTTGCTGTTGAATATAATACAGAGACAAAAATACATACTAGTAACTCTATGATTGCTTTTGTCAAGGTAATTAAATTAAACCTTTTAATAACTGAATATGTAAAAGTATGGTATTCGGGATGAAAAGCACCCCTACTGTTGGGGCTAAAGGGACAATAATTAATGTGATAATCAAGGTAAAAGGTTCACCAGCATGGGGCAAATGCCCTATTTATAAAATAACCCCCACTCCTCCTTTTATATGATTAAAAAAAAAAGTTTTAAGATTTATTTTTATTTTCCCACAAAATGTGTCATCAATTTTTAATAAAAATATTTACATACACACACACACACACACACACACATATATATATATATATAAGTACACACACATATATTAGGTAAACAAAAACTTATTTTTGGATGCGATTAATCTCCCTTAATATATATTTTGTGTGTCTGTGTGCGTATGTATGTATTACATTAATTACTGTCCCTTTAGCGCCAGCCATAGGGGTTCATTTCACTCAGAATGCCATACTTTTACATATTCTTATTGTTAAAAAACTTTTGATTTAATTAACTTGAACAAAACGGAAAATCATTCAAAAGCATTAACCTTTGTCTCAAAATATTTTTGGTCATTTGAACAACTTTCATTTGCTACATTAATCTATAATATTAAAAAAATAAATATCGGCTTGACTTTGCATTGATGCTTGCGGTCATCTCAAGAATCATCCAAATTTCCACGTGCATAGTGAAACATGGATGTTTAGAGAAGTGATGTAGTTGTGTGTTTGTATGTTTTGTTTACAACATGTTAATATCAAACTGTATTAAAATCAGTTGTCAAATTAAGTCAAGTTTCCTGTGCGGAGCACTACTTGTGTGCCTTGTGGAGTTCCTACCTATTTAAAGTGCTTCAAAATAGTCATTTGAGTTTTTTGTTGTTTAGGATGCTGCTTTAGAGTAGGGTTGTAGCATGGTTAGTTCACTAGGTTTTATAATAGATCTTTTTCACATTCATGTTAGTTTAGGTATTAAAGTAATGTTTTTCATTTGCAATTCTTATTATACGTTATTAAAAATATCTGAAAAATGTCTCTGTTTCTTTCCTCTCTGTCTATGCAGGATTAATAACTGTGTTGGGGAGGATAACCACTGGCTCTTTTTGCAGCTGTGTTTTTACACTCAGGTTCTGAGTCTCTACACTCTGGTGTTGGACTTCTGCCAGTACTACTACTTCCAGCCCCTGTCCTCGGTGGACCGGGTGAGATGGTCTTTCATTTACACACCTCCATTTATACTGCCCAAGTGTTTAAAGTCACTGTAACATTTATAGTTTTAAATCACAGTTTTTTAAACACTGATCTCTCTCTCTATATATAATGACTATTATAGATCAGTGGTTTTAAAGTACACTTGTTCCATTAGAGTCATGTGGGTGGACCTCAGCTTCAGTGCACACATTGTTTTAGGCAAACACAGTACATATGGGCCATGATATGGTAAAACCCATGAACAAGCTTTTTTTAAATGTTTTATTTATGTATTATGGCATAGTGATAGTAATAGCGTGGTACTTTTTAAAGTTATATTTGACATATTTACTTATTATTTGAATGGTTATGAGTACAATTAGTACCAAAAGACAATCAAGATTGATATGATTTCAAGTTCATTCATCACATTTGATATGGATAGTCAAGTCAGGTGCATTGCATTGTGGGATACAGTACAATACGCATAACATTTTGTTAGATATATACTGCTATGCAGACATATATGGTAGTATGCTTTTTTCATTTAGCCAATTTTATTATTCTGAGGTTCAGTAGAATCTTCTCAATGGAGGCAGATGATTAACATTGGATTTGCACCACTTATCTGAGATTAGGGACCTGCAGGTGGCATCAGCATTACGGAATAAGCTGTTACTTTGAATGAGAGAAACTTAATACAAGTTGTATTTGCATGCATTGATCAGTTATACTGGTCTGATGCCATATCACTTCATCCAAAACACACCTGCAAACAGCAAATTCCCAAAGTTTGGCCCTTTTCTGTTTTATTGCATGTTTTATAGCTGTAATTTGCTATGTAATATTTTACAGACTGATACAAAAAATTGATTGGAAATGCTTGGAATGTACATAGTTGTTATACAAGACGGAGAAATATAAATATAACAACAGGAACCTGTGTGACCTTTATGAACTAAAGCAGATGAAATATGGAAATAAGACCTTCAGGGTAAAGTCTGGATTGACTAAAAGTAGAGACAGCTGCCAAACTGTCTTCTTGCTGTCAAAACATAGTGAATTTGTTTTTAATGTCAGTGTTTAAGGATGAATATTTATATTTCTGTTTTTCCTAAGTTACAGTTTTTCATCTTTAATCTTATATTTTAGAATTGTGGGCTGAGGACTAGTGGCATTGGGGTAGTGAGAGATAATGCGATTTAACCGTTTTGATAAAATCTAATGAAATTATACGTTTTTATTAAGAACAAGTGATCATCTCTGATCATCTCTGAGTGGCTATTTTAAAAACTAATGGCAGGTAAAGTTGTGGCACTTGTTTTGTTGCATGTCTCGAGAATCAGGAGTGTAGTAGTGTATTTTCTGTCAGAGCATTTAAGTTCAAAGGAGCATCATTCCAACTTGAATGCAGCTGAACAGCTGAGCCATCATGGCAACGGCAGACCACCTGCAAATAAAAGCCCATAACGCTCAATTTCCTGTTTTTGTTTATTTTGTGGAGCATTGTGTGTGAGTAAACAGACGCAGCTGAGAAGCGAGAGATGCAGTATGGGCACAGAAACGGCTGTATGGTAGAGATAGTGACGTTATCTCCTGGGAAAGCTTTCCCACAAGAAGCTAAATATTGTGGATTTTGTGTATTTGTGTGTGTTTCTATGTGTTTAGTGTAATAGACGCAGAAAAGCCTTCAGCAGGAAAGGAAACAAGCAAAATGTGTCACATCGCTTCCCATAACTGCCTGCAGTGCAAAAATCCTCTTTGTGCTTGCATAGCATAATGATTTAACTTGGAAATAATCTAAATTGTCCATGAGCATTTATAGCACATGTGTAACATGTCTTTTTAGGCGGACATTGAGGTACGTCATGAATTGGCTCTTCTACGTGGGTCTTGTTTCATGGGGCTGATCATGTTTGGTGGAATGAGCAGCCTTTTCTACACACAAGTCGAAGGAATCCTTGCAGTAAGTTTTGCTTTTTTCTTTAACTGAGTAAATAAATGAGTTTGCCATGTCAGCAGGTTTAACTGACTTGGTCATAGAGATTACTTGTACTTGCTATGGTGAGATTCGTGCTTTTTGTAGATAATTATAGTCTTAAGTGTTTTTATTTTTGGTTTTTGTAAAAACAGTTTAAGAAAATTACGGTTTGATGCATTGATAAAATGTTCGCTATTCAAAATCTCACCAGCAGAAATTGCATCATTTTGGTAATTACTCACATACTGAATTGCAATGGGCTTTTCTTTCTTTCTTTCTTTTTAACCATTTCTAACACTGCTGTCCAGTTCTGCTTTTGGAGACCTACTTTCCTGCAGAGTATTATCTCCAATCCTTATTAAACACATTACGAGACAGAATTACTAGCATGCTATAAGATATGCGGTATCAAATTTTCATGTTGCGATTAATTGCTAATGCTTTTATTACGGTATGCGGTATTATCACGGTATTGAAATTTAGTTTAAAAAAAGTGCTGTCATAATACAGTATAAATGGCTGTTTAAATAATTTAAACACGATTCAGAAAGAGAAAGTAGAGCAGCTGCTTTGTTTACAGGGTTTGCGGGGTAACGGCTGCATTTCTGCAGTTTAGCGCCGTCTGCTGTCAGAGAGTGAAAGTGCGCTTTCATCCAGAGCGTCTCTCACATGTTCCGCCATGTGCTTCTCGTCCGCGCTTGTTTACGTCAGAGTGCGCACGCGTCTTTCACGCAGCATATAGCGGTGTTGTGCATTTTGACCAGTTGATGGGAAAAGTATTCTTAAAATTTATTCAAAATTTGTAATAATTTGTAATATATAATTATTCACGGTATTTAGAAGTGCCCACGATAACAATATCGTGCATATTCATTACCGTGATATATCGCATTACCGAATACCGGCACAAGTCTACTAGCAGGTTGGTTTTGCAGCAGGTTGGAGTGAACCTTTGCAGGAAGGTGGCCCTCTGGGATATATAGCCATTTACACTGCAGTGCAGGTGTTCCATGCACAGGGGACAGGAAACAAGATGCATGTTGTGGGTCATGACAACAGTATGTGATACAGGTCTGATTCTACATTTTATTTACACATAATCAAAGTCTAAAACCTAAACCTACCTAAAAAGATTTTTATTCATCTTCGAAATACAATGTGAAGATATTTTGCTGAAACCTAAGAGATTTTTGTCCCTCTGTTAAAAGTTTAAACAACCAAAGTTTGACACTTCAAAAAGGTCATGAAAACATAGTAAACATAATCCATATGAATATAGCGGTTTCAAATCCAGGTGTTCTGAAAAGACATGATTGCCTTATATTTATTTATATTACAGTTTTAATTAAATTTTAGTTTAAGTTTTATTTACATATAAACATTGATCAGAGGTCATAAATAAAGCAGATTGAAAATGGTAAACAAAAGTTCGAACATGATTGCTTGACACGCAAGAACCAATGAGATTTGCTCTGACCTGTCAAGCAAGTATGGTTGAGTTTCTGTGTTTCACAGTTTTGATGGGTTTTATGTATGTGCTTTGATCAATGGTGTTTTGGGGTAACCGACTTCATAAGTATACAGTAACAAAACACTTCATTTGCAAACTATTAGTTTATAGTCAATTCACAGCTTATAAACTGTTGTCTATACATGAATATGTTAATGTTATGGGCAAAAAGTGAGTTCTTCATTCATTTGTCAAAATAGTTAACAGATTATTATTGCTTAATTAGCTCATATGTAAAGATTTCAATGTTTTATTATCAAGTGTTAACAGTGTTAATGACAGAATGTGTGCTATGGTTACCAGGAGCAAATTGTTCTCACTTTAGATTAAGTCACAGAAAATACTAAATGAAAGGCAATAACCTACCTTTATTAGACATTAATTGCATTCCTAAAATGTTAGAAATACATTAATTAAGCATATGTTTTTATAAAAAAAACAAGTCACTTTACACATGAACATTAAGTTTCTTTACAAGTAATGACTTAATGTTTTTATGGACCACCCTATCCCTTAAACATAACCACTTTTTAATAAATGAAAATGTACAGTGACAGTAGTTATGTCAATATTCAAGTTCAAGTTCAAGTTCAAGTCTGCTTTATTGTCAATTCTTCCACATGTACAGCACATACACACAGAGAATTGAAATTGCGTTACTCTCAGACCCTTGGTGCATACAGATAACACTAACAGTAGAACATAAATACAGATATACAGATTAAGTATAAAAATACAACTATACAAATAAGGTAAAATGTAAAAAAATATATAAAAAAAATATATATAAAGCAGCACACGGCACATGGCAGATAGAGTGCAAACCAGTGAAGTAAACAACAGTGCAGATATAATGATTTGTAGTGCAAAAAGAGCTTATTTAGACTGATTAAAGTGACTGTGTGTGTGTATTTGGGAGGGGGAGCTGGCTTGTGTGGGTTAGCCGCTAGCCTAGCCCGGATACCTCCGCGCTTACCCCTCTTCTGCTTCCTCTCACGCCGCTTGTGGCGCCTCCGCTGTGGGCGAGATGCAGTAGTGGGGGTCGGTGATGGTGTGGGCCTCCGGAGCAGACTGAGTGTAAAAATTTAAATATTGTGTTTTTGTGTCTGCAAATGTAATTAAATGTATGTTACATAAAATACATACAAATGCTCATGAGATCACATTTAAATGCATCAGTTATCAGTGAATCATCAGTTAAAATAATAATTTGTAAATTAAAGTGACAATGAATTAGAAACTGTCCTGTTATTAAAGATGTAATTGCAAATAAATATTTTACAAATTATTCTTAAGTACTTTAACTATATACTCACCTTAAAGTGTTACCAAGAAGTCTTAAGGTATGGAGCAATGTAAGGATGAATAATTGATTACAGCATTTTTGGGTGAACTATTCCTTTAATGTAAAGGACAAAGCAATGGAAAAACCAAACTGCTGGCCTTCGCAACCACACTGACCTGTTTGGCTATAATAACAAATGCAGTCTTTCATTCTTTTCTTCTACTTCTGTTATGTCCTCCATCCTTCCTCTGTTGATTAGGCCTGAAACATGGCTATGATTGGGGGGAGCGGGATAATCATGTTTAACTCTGATCCTTTAACTGATGACTTCATGTGATAGCCAGGCCAAAGAGGATTAGTAGTGACCTAGTTAAATTCGGTAAAAAGTGCAGCCCTTTAAAAAGAATACACCTCCCCTTAATCTTATTCTCTGGTTCCCAGTGATGTTCACTTGACCCCCACGCGTCCACCATATGCTGTGGAAGTATGTCAAAGAACACGTCTCACTTCACATCCTATCCTCTGTCATTTGAATATGAGGGTCTTCCATCTTCTCAGTACAAATATCCAACCATTTAATGAAACAAATTCTAACCTCATTCCAAACCCTCTGGACAATTGAGTCTTCCTACAGAGGCTCATTTGTGTAATTCCACCAACTGAAAACATAATAGTTTTCTCATTAAATATTACACAAGCTGTGTCCAGCCGTTCTTTTAGATGACCTTTGACACTAACCCATTCCTACAGGAGACTTCCTTTGACAACGCTAATCTTGTGTTGCTAAAAGTCCATGTTAAGCTGTCTTATCTTGTGTCCTGTCCTGCCTTTAAGCCATCTCCTTATCCAAAGGCCAGAAAAGTCCCAGGGCTTTAACACACAAGCTACACCTTCACCCTGCTATCCCGTGTTGTGATGTCTTAGAAGATTTAGCGTCTGACAGGGTGGTTAGTGCGTAGCCTCGTGCCAATGATAGCAAGTGAGGAAGCAGACTTAACCATTGATCCCTGCAAAGATCTTTTCCTCACGCATGCTCTCTGAGCCCAGATCAGTTCAGCCTGAACTGCAGCCAGGTCCAATTGGCATGACACTGGCTGCTCCAGGCCAAGAGTGTGTCCTCTAGCGGTTCACAATGTGAATCTGACTTCAACAGTTCAAGTCAGACTTCTTACATAATGTCTTATGGCTTCGGGAATGGAGTCTTTTTTATGTATTTGTCTTGTGTATCACACACAAAGCACATATTGTTCTAGGAAGCCACTGTCAGTCACAAGCCCACCATTTTTCACACAAACAGGCCCTTCAGTCTCGCCTCTGTTAATCCTACCTTATTTACATATTCAGTTTTTTTTTTCTCTTTGCCGCGTCTCTTCACCTGGCAAGCAGGGGGGATTTTAGCATCCCTATGCACGCGGTCCCATTGTCCGCAGGCAGATGCCCTTTTGCCCCTGTGCCAACTTGGCAAGGTGAGGAGGGCACCAAGGGAGTGTTGCTGCTGTCGGCTTCACTGTCTCTCTTTTGTCTCAGTGTATGCTATTGCAGTTTTCACTCCCAGCGTGGGAAAGATCAAAAACCGATCCAATTCACCCCCTTGAATCCACTGGCTTGCTGTCATAAACCATTTCATGAGTTGTCGCTGTATTGTCTCCTAAATTTATAAGAAATGACATGTTTATAGTTCAGTGGTGATAAAAAGCAATATCTTTCATTGTTTTCAACAACAGGACGCAACAACTATAGAGAAGATGTCACACTTACTGGAAGACATGTAAGTATCAAAACTTACAGCATCATATCAGCCATTTAATAATAATGTAATGTCCTCTACCCAGTCATTACATGTAGACATGGAAACTGGGACTAGTTCTCAGCTTGAATATGAGTCAAAAGTCTAATCACACGTATCTATCTATCTATCTGTCTATCTGTCTGTCTGTCTGTCTGTCTCTGGTTTTGTATGTGCACTGTTCAAAAGTTTGGTCTCTGTAAAATGTTATTATTATTATTATTAATAATTAATTGCATTTTATTATTTTAAACATTAAAGGCATTTCAAATAAATGCTGTTCTTTTGAACTTTGTTCGTCAAAGAATTAAAAAATGTTGCAGTTTACACAAAAGTTGTAAGCAGGACAACTGTTTTTAAAATGGTTGAAGTGTTTCTTAAAATTAACGAAAACGGTCATTTTAAATTGTAATAATATTTCGCAATATTACTTCTTTTAATAAATTTTTTATCAAATAAATGCCACCTTGGTAAGGCTTCTTTCAAAACATTTTGCTAACTCCAGACTTTTGAATGGTAGTACAGATTTTGAACACCGGGTTCAAAACATTTTAAATTAACATTTATGGTTAAAAAAGTGGTTTGATATTTGTACTTTTGTGTTTTTTCTCAATTGTTTTGTATTTAAAAATGGTTGAAAATTAACTGGAAAATTTCCGTTAGGCTGTTGCCCTGCTATTGGGCACAATAGGTCAACTTGTGTTCAATAAACCTTCTTTAATCTAGTGCAGTAACTTTGCACAATAGCTTTTTTTAAAGCCAAAATGTTTAGGGTGTGTGTCTCTATACAGAATATATTTTGATTTTAAAAAATGAACTTTGTTCACTGACGTAAAGTTTGTGAAAACTAGACTAGGTCTCTCCTAAAGCTCTTAGATTCTCTGCATAATTCATATTTCAAATGTGATATTATTTTGCATTAGCTTAAGATGCATACTTTAATTTATTCTATGCCCCCAGTGGACCGCGCCGGTCGTGGCAGCAAGCGATGGCTGAGGTGTTTGGCACTCGCTGGAAGATCCTGTGGTTCCTGCCGTTCAGGAGCAGACAGCCTCTAAGGCTCAACTTGACCTCCCGCTCCCATGTGTAGACAGACAGACAGAGACGCACACATCACTCCAGTGGGGAAGGTCACCCTCCGACAACCCCCCTCCCCTCCCCGCCCCTTGTCTTCAGCAAAATCCTCTCCAAAATAGCTTGGTACCTCTACAGGATCAAACTTTTTCAGGTTCTTCATAACATCTGAGAATAATCTGGCACATATCTATTCATATAGAAATGAATACAGTTGTAGTTGAACATATCAGTGTCAAAAACAGTATTTTTTTCGGTTTTGACTGCACATGCTGGGACAGGATTGTATTTACTACTGAAATAGGATTACAGGGAATAGTTTATTGTGAGGCTTGGTTGTCTCCAGGGTAACGCTTATTTGTTGAGACCTCAGCCCGGCCCGGCCCAGTCCACTCCCCTAGGTCTGGATCACGTGAGTGGTTTTCATGCGAGTAGGGACGCAAGTGGGCGGAGATTGTCTGGTTTTATGGCACTGAGGGTTGATGGCTCTCGAGGTGAGTCATGACCTCTGGCATGGGTAAAAGACACTGCTGAAGAACACACACACACACAACATAGTTTACAATAACTTTCGCTATCATGCACATAATTACGCATACCTCACCAAGCACTGCTAATGCCTCTGCTGAGCGTTTGACTGCTGTTACTGCGATTGATCACTTTTTTTTTTTTTCATTAATGTTTGTGTGCCTTTTACAGTCTACAAGTTTGGAACTTTTTTGTGTCTTTTTATTACGAATTTTATTTTAAATCATAAACATCAAGTTACTTGTTTTTTTGAGGCGCTATTAAACCAATGTTAATAATAATAATACTTAATGTAAGTTTCATATTTGAAAACGATATTGCAATAATAATAATAATATTACCTTAAAAGATGCTTGCAAAAAGATAAAATGTTATAAATTAAGTTCACTGATGTAAAGATGCGATTCACGAAAAAGGGATGGATGAAACATGATTTATCATGTAAATAATTTTTGCCCAGATTTGAATGAAGGTTGCACAACACCATGACACATAAGCCCTTGGTTTGTCATTAAATTACCTTTTTAACTTTTCTATGTGATTCAGATCAACCCCAATATCTAGTAGCAAATCACCAATTTTCTGAAGTGCCTCTAAACATGCAGTTCTAATAAAATAACTTTACTATCTGTTAGGTGCACAAATACACCAGTGACTTTTTTTGTTTTAGATCAGATTTACTTTACTGTGTTTTCAGGTAACTGTAATGATCCAGAAGAACATTTGGGTTCATATTACACATTTATCTTGACAAGCCATTATAGATAAACAATTATTACACAATAATTTGCACGAATAGTTAATTGTGCAATTGTGGGTTTTGTCCACTAGGCGTAAGAGTAAATGTAATCGAGTAAAGCTTGGTAATTATGGTCTGTATGATTTTGACACACTAATAGGCACATTTTTCTTCTGACGGTAGCACTGGGGGTGACCAGGTAGCCCTTTCTTGCTTAATTCTAGCTCTAGTCGACATTCCATTAAAAAGGTCAGAGGTACAGAAAATAAATTTAATTCAAAACTAATTTCCCGCTTTCATTTTGTCTTGCGTTACACTCCACCTGAATAATGTTTATAAAATGGTTGCTCGTTTTTTTGTTACAGCACTTACAAGCTGACAACATTCACTTCATACGAGAGATACATACTTGAATGTTTATTGTGAATATCATGCATTTAACTTGTGTCTTTTGCTGGATGTTATACTTTTCATTTTTAAATTTCTCATTCTTTATTGTGATTTTTATGGTAGAGGGTCTAATAATTGGTTATTAAAAACTAAAAATTTATTTAAATCTCATTCTTTATTGTGATTTTTATGGTAGAGGGTCTAATAATTGGTTATTAAAAACTACTATCTTCTGTGGTTATTTTTAATTTCTGAGTGTTGGAGCAGCTTTGCTCTTTTGCTTATTTTAAATGCAAGACATTTTTATTGTTGTTTTTGTTTGTCTGTTTGTTTTTATTGCTAAACCAATTATGTGTAGTATGTAACACTGGGTGCAGGGCAGGGGCTATTGGATTGATTCCATTACTCATATGATATTTATTTAATATTTTTAACATTAAAGAACAATTTTCATATCCTTATATTAACATGATATCAATTATTAAGAGAGCTTATAAAAGAGCAGTATACTCACTGTAGCTGTTGGTAGGCCATGTTCACGTGTGTGTATCCATTGTAAAGCAATAAAACCTGCTAGAAATTATTCACTATTATAGCAGATATGACAATTGTATGTGCAGGTAGTTCACTGAACATTATTTTATTTGAATCTACTCCTCATGAATATTGTAATATTGGAAACTACTAATTGCTGCCCTATTGAGGATGATGACCCTATTCAGGTTTTTGATTGAAATATATCAGTTATGGTGTTTCTGTCTATTTCCTTCATTTGTGGTTTCAGTCACAAAGTTTATTTTGTAATCATGGGAGTTTTAAGTATATCAGATATAAATTATTTATGAAGGCATTTAAAAAAAAAAAAAAATGGTCTGCTTGATGTGCAGTTATTTATGTTTGTGCTTTTTCTCATATAAACATATTAGATTATAGATTGTTGGTTGTTTCTTCAACTATGGGCACTTTTTTTGTCCTTGTGGACATTTAGAAAGTCTCTTAAAGGGGTCATATGATGCTATTTTAAAGATCATTATTTTGTGTATTTGGTGTAACAGAATATGTTGACATGCTTTAATGTTCAAAAAACACATTATTTTTCAAATACTGTACATTATTGTAGGTTCTCTATGCCCCACCTCTCTCAAACACGTCGTTTTCAACAAAGCCCCCTCCTTTGACAAGCGCAGTCTGCTCTGATTGGCCAGCTGACCCAGTGCATTGTGATTGGCCGAACACCACAAGCACGCGTCGGAAATGTAACGCCCCTTACCATAATCGCGAGTTTCAGCTTTCAAAGTAAATATCAAGACAGTTAATAATGTCGTTAGTTTTACCATCAGTTCAAGCCCGAAAGGGCAACAGAGTCGTGTGACAGACACAGTGATGATGTAGTACACAAGCCGCGGTTAAGACAGCTGACGTGCTATGATTTCTGACAGGCAGTTCACTCTCCTGTGATGTGACCCTGTTCCCCTCACACACACACACACACACACACACAC